CGCGTTTAGCGCCCAGAGCCGACGTACACTTGCTCCAGCAGACACTTGTGGATCCGAGGACGTCTGAATGATGGGCTACTTACAAAAACCTCCTCGCGGGAATTCACGGTGAAAGGACGCCCGCCTGCATCGCAGTCGGCTAAACAGAAGCCTCGGACATTTCCGCACTTTGTGACTTCTGGTTTTCTAATCTTCCTTTTCCTTGTTTTATTCCGCCTCGGTGCCTCTGCGGGATAATTTTCTCTACCAGGTCCCAACAAAAAGTAGGAGGCAAGCGCTCCTCCGGAAGTGACGTCACGACAAATCCCGAAGAAAGGGACTTGATTAGCATTTTTAAAGCGACACCTTTTCTTTTTTAAACTTTTCTACTCACTTGGAACGAACGAACAAACAAAAAAAGTCATTAAGCGGTCATTTTCTTTGCAATTTATATTTACTTTATTTCAGTTTATACTTCATTTATTTATGAGAGAAGAGAAAGGGGCTGCAGAGCTGGTACAAGTAAAATCAAATATGTGTAAACGTGTAACTGGAAACAGTTTGCATGCTTTTGAAAAGCTGCAGCGCTTTTAAGGATTTAACCACTCATTTAATTTTTCTGAACTCAAATTATAAAGTATGGCCACTGTTTAACAGCAGCACCCCCTACTGGTTGCTGTAGGAACTGCTGGTTCATTTAATGGAATTGGTGTGCCCAAACATTATTACTATATCTAGACAGAAAGTAATGAACGCTGTGGAAAAACGGGAAATGACCTTTTTAAGAAAAATAAAAATATCACGAGAAATTACTCTGGAAGTAAATAGGTTTAACTTTCTTGGCCCCTAGACCTAAAGAGGCACTTGGAAAGCAAACATCTCCTCTGAGAAACTGATGCAGTTTCATTTGAAATTAGAGTTTTGTTTCCTGCACATATGAATACAGCTGTGCCTTTAAATTTAGCCCATCTTTGAGGTTTTGTGGCCAGGTACACAGGCAGACTTCTGTCAAAAGGCCTTTAAAATGCTAAAACAATGCCTTATCCTGATTCATTTCTATATTATTGTGATTAAGATCTGAAAAGATTCAGCTGTCTTCAGATTTTTGCACATTAATGTTCAAAGTTTTACAGCTTTGCCACTCAAATCCAATCCCCCTGCACGTAAAAAATGGGTGAATATCACTAAACTAAGTGCATATGCACCATTTGTGCCTTTGAAATTGTGCACATGCACTGCTGCACTGCATCCTAATGCAGCACACTGACCACATGTTTGCATCTGGAACCCAAACAGATTTTTATACCCCAGAAAACTGTGAGTGACAGAAGTGGATTGGTGGCAGCGAGAGTGAAAGAGAAGGCAGCGAGATCGGCAGTGATGCAGGCGAGGAGGCAAAGATGAAGATGCTAAGACCTTCTGTTGGATAAGAAATGAGTACAGATGGTCAGGGCACGTGCAGAGGAGGGACAGTGGATACGTTGGACAAAGGATGATGAAGATGGAGCTGCCAGGCAGGAGGAAGAGAGAAAGACCTCAGAGAAGATTTGTGGATGTAGTGAAAGAGGACATGCAGAGGGTTGGTGTGACAGAGGAGGATGCTGGGATAGGAGGAGATGGAGGCAGGTGCTATACCCCAGAAAGTCTATCTATATTAACACTGTGTGCATTTGGGGTCCAACATCATTTTCTCCAGCTACAACTAACAGCATCAGCACTGTGTCTCCCTTGTGTGACTGATGGCTTCACTCTACGCTTAAAACGGCACCAAATAATTCTAGTCGAGATCTTCAGCCTCCGGTCGCTCTAACGTTGCCCAACCTCACTTTTACAGTGTGGAAAAGCAAGGTGATCCGAAGCCACGTCTCCATGCTTTGACAGACAAGCTTTAATTGTTCATAATCAAGCTTATAGACATGTCCAAAGCACTGTAAAAACCAAGATACCAGAGAGGAACAAGCAACTGAGGACAAAGGATTTTATGACACAGGTAGAAGTTAACCAAGGGTATAATACGGTAAAACATTTCTCATGACGTTGTGGTTCATTATATATAACACTCGCTGTTATAGATTACCTTTCAAATAAAATGAGAAAGAAAAAAAAAGTTGGAAAGGGCATTGTTGAAATACAACCATGTGTCACATTTGAATCATCCAAAGGAGAGAAAAAAATAAAAATAGAAACAAAATCTTTCTGCTCACAAATGATTTTCCCTTTTATTTTAAAGTTTTTTTTAATATACAACATTATATTTACATGTTCTAGTAATATTTACACAAAATTAGCAAGTGGCACTGTGTAGTTAGTTCTTTTTTATTCTTGATCCCTACAGGTGTCTTATTTTCAAACAAAATTTTAAAAAAGATAAATTAAAAAGAAGAACATCTGAACAATGCTTTATGCCTCATCTTTCTCTCTCAGTAGGACTACCCGCCAATCAGCCTTCTACAAAGTGCTGTCTCTTCTTCGTTATCTTTACAAAAATACACCCCGAGCCCTCCCCGCGCCCCTCCACACTACTTCAGCTCAGTAACCTTGGATACACAGACAGTACCGATTACGTGTCAACAAAAACACGTCGAACACAGACGGCTCGAATCCTCCGTCATCGACCTCTCACCGCACGTTTTCTCGTCTCATGACGAGTTTTTTGTATTTTTTTTTTTGGTGGCACTTTTAATTCTGGCTGCCAAAAACAAAAGCTTCACTTCTTCCAGAGTGCACACTCACAGATGTGGGCCTGCGGCGCGTTTGTCAATAAAAGCAAAAGTTAAAAAAAATCGCCGGCCCTCCCATGACTAGCCTCAGTTTGTCCTTCTGTGGAAAACAGGCTGTTTGATACTGTACCCACGGTATTCTGCACGGATGTGTCACTCGCCTCCAGGCCGTGCAGAGAGTGGGATCCATGTATAATGATCCAAAAAGAGAGGCAGCTGGGGAAAACAATGAGGAGAGAACTGTGGATGTTGCGTGGGCTCTGCAGAAATGACTGAAGTGTGTTAGGCCAATTTTGGGAGAGGGATGCAACACGGGAGAGATTAAGGAGGAGGAGGGAAGAAAGAAAAGAGTGAAGAGGAAAGCAGTTTCCAGGCTCTTCTTAATCCCACCTCTACATGTGGCCAAGGATGATTCAGCTGTTCGAAAAGGAGGCATGAGCACAAAGTGAATTGTTTCACAGGCGAAGATTCAACCAGTTTCTTTTTTAAACCACACTTCAGGAAGGCTCCCTTTCTGTTTCTTATTTTGTTTCTTTTGTCTTGTTTTTTCCAGAAACTTGAGATCAGGTTCGAGCAGGTCTGCGGCTTCACGGCTCAACCTTTCATTCCAGTTTACAGGCAAGCAGGCTGAGAGCAGACAGCTGCCAAAGTACATGTTAGAGATGGCTGAGGAACAGAGAGGGAGAGGTAACGGAGGACGAAAACCGAAAACACACATTCGTATTTTTCACACACACACACACACACACACAGCGGTATTTGTTTCCAGCAGAATCCGCTGCGAGAGCCGAGATGAAACTCATCGCCACACTCGAGCGCAGCAGCATCACCGGTTTTTACAAATAAAACCGACTACCTGGGTTCTGTGAAATGAAAATACGAAAATCGTTTAGTCTCACCTATAATCTAAACATGTCTTACAAAGATGAGGTATCGTTTAGGGAAAAGAGAACCAACAAAAAGGGAAATATCGGCTGAATGTTGTGTTTGTGCTGCTTCTGTAAACAACTCTCACGCACAGGCTGCTGTCAGACCTCTCACAGCGAGTTTTTCTCAGGTTAACGCTGAATCGGGTGACTGCTCAGAGTAACCACACTTCCACCTGGACTGTCAGCATGTACCCTGGTTTGCTCCGGTCTGGGCTGAAAAAACAAAAAGACTAAACGCGGGGAGATCGATGGAGGGAGCGATTAAAGTTTGCTACTATTGTGCAAACGCTGTGGGGGGTGAAAAAAAACAATACTGATTGCACAAAACTTGTAGCAGCTTTCACCCACAGATGTCTGACCCTCTACCTGTTCCTTTAAACATTAAAGACCTGTGCAAAGAAAGCAAGAACTATCTGAGTTGCATAAAGAAGACCAGTATTTCCAGCCTGAGGAAGCAAGGTCAACATATCCAGGCTTTCTTTCTCCAGGATCTCTGCTTCAGGCGCACATAAAGCATACAGACATAAAGTCTGACTCTTCTTTTGCAAAATGAAATGGACCAATTAACTCAAATGACTATATTTGATTTAGAATTTGATGTGGCCAGAGATTAGAGGTGTGAAACATGAGAGGATACTGCAGGAGACGTGGCAATCACTTTCGTTTCGTGGCCAATCGAACATTCCTGAAGAATTTTCTAATCGTCTTCACTTCCCGCAGTGTAATTTAAAAAAACCTTAATCACCAAATGAACACATTCAAATTCATTGCAGCAGAGTTTATGTTGCTGTAGCTTCACATCTGTAACTGGGCTCTACAGGTTGCATATATAAAACATGAATGGCGTTTTCAGGTAGACAGTGAGGAAAATGTGGCGCTTCCTGATGATTTGAAGCCAAAACACTGACATGACCTGCTCGGACCGGGTTCAGCAGAAGGTACCGCCCGGCGGGATCCAGCTCGGTTAAAAGAAACCATCTTTGTCACGATGAAGACTTCAGGCTCCACATTAATCCTAATCCACGGTGCGCCCCTCTGGTCGGAGGGACGCTGTCCGGCTCGAGGACACCGGGGTTTTTAGTGAGAAGCGAATCGATGCAGGAGCGTGAAAGTGAGCGAAAGCGGACGGGAGCTGTGGTGACGAGGATCAAAACCCCCGCCAAACGACGTCCACGTGTGCGTCTGTGGGCTCAAACACGCCGCTCACAGAAGGATCGAGTACCAAACTCTCCCCAGCGCCGAACGAGAGGCGAGACGAGAAAGATCAAAGCAAGTACAATAAATTAAATCACTGTTGGTGTTTTTGCCCCCCCCCAAACCACAAAAATCAAAAGAAATAAAGAAGTAGTTCGAAGAAGAGGAATCACACTACTTTACTACCTAAGATTTAATCAGGAAAGCATGAAGCTCTAGACTTGTACAAACAAAACATACAGCGTTTTTTTGTTCAGTGGACAGGGTTTGACACAAACTAAAACACAATAAATACTCTGAGGAACAAAAGATAAGGTTTTTCTCTTTATCTGCTAAAAGGACACTAAAAAAAAAAAAAGGCAGGTCCGTCTGGCAGACTCACTCCGAAGGGGACAGGGCAACCCTTTGGGACTTAAAAAAACTAAAATAATAAGAGAGAGAGGGGAGGCTTTCCATCCACAGTGGCCGCCCTTCCCCTTCGTACTTATGGCACTACAGCAACTCCCCATCCACGTTTTATCATCTCGTTCATTCTTTGATTCTTCTTTTCGTTACCCTGAACATCAACTCCCCCTAAAGGTACCTGTTCGACACAGCTGGGTTTTTTAACTCATCACGTCCAAAGGTTTTCATGTCAGTTTGTCTGTTCGTTTCATTTTTTGTCAGCTTAAAGTGCAACAGTGCTTTTGTTCTCTCGTCCGGCCTCCTCCCGGTGAGCCCCGCCCACCCACGTCACGGGTTAGCGGGATCGGGGTTCGCGCTGGTCTCGCTCGTCGCGCTGGTGGCACTGGCGACGCTCGGCTCCTCCACTTCCTCCTCCTCCTCTTCTTCCTCCCCCTCTTCTGTCACTTCTCCCACATCCAGCACCTCGACTTCGTCGTCATCCTCTCCGTCCAGCTCTTCTTCCAGCATCTCCACCTTGGCCGCCTCCCCTTTCTCTGCCGTCGCCGCCTCGTCTCGCTCCTCTCCCGCTTTCTGCTGCTCTTTGCGCTCCTCCTCCTTCTCGTCGGCCGCCTTCTCTCTCTGCTGGTAGAGGGCCGTCTTCAGCGGCTTGAACAGGTCTTCCTCGTAGACCTTGAGGATGGCCTCGCACACGAAGCGGTACTGGCTCTGAAAAGAAAAGCGGAGGCAGCGTTTAAGCTTTTAAAGTTTACAGCGTCGGAGAGCAAGCGGACGGTGCTGCGTACGCACAGGCGTCTGTATCATCATGGCCCGCTGATCTCTCATGGTCTTGACAATTTCTAGAGGATACACCGGCTGACCGCACTCCATCAGACACAGCGCCGTCTCCATGGTGATCAGAACGCCCGTCCGACCAATCCCAGCGCTGGAAAAAAATCAAGATCATTTGATTGTTAATAACACACACTAATTATTTAACGAAGTAACAAAAATCTCTGTAAGGAGCAAATAAGCTAAATTCCAACAATTCTGAGACTTTATGGATATCATTTGTGCGCTATATTGTCACGGTACTGCCCACGCTGTGAAGGAGGCGGGACTTAAGGTATAACAAATTGCCCTGAAGGAAGTAATGAGGGGCAGGTGAGAGGTGTTCAAACATTTGAGACCTGGGAAAGGAGAGAAATCACTTTCTGGTAACGGAAACTGGAACTTTTCTTGGAAGTCACTCGTTTCACTACATCCATCGTTTCCAGCTCAGACAGGTTAACTTTTATCCTGTAATCTTTGGCTCGCCATGGTCACATGGTTCACACAGAATGGCCGTACCTGCAGTGCACCACCATTGGCTGGTCCTGTCCAGCCCGTTTGGTCCGTACGAGAGCCACAAAGTCCAGGAAATCAGTGGAGTCGTCGGGAACGCCGTGGTCGGGCCAAGCCACGTACTGAATCTGAGTGATTTCCCTCTTTTGCTCGCTCTGAACACACACGACACAGTGCACACACACACACACACACACACACACACACACACACCACAGAAAATAATGCAGAATCGTATATCCGGGTTGTCATGGTAATGCAGATACAGTAAAGATGTTTGAGATGTGCACACGCTGATGAGCAATGGGATCAGAATTCCTGACAGGCAGTGAAAATCCTGCCGTGGGTCCGCTCTGCAAACTCAGACCTACGGTGTAACGTCAGTCTGATCCACAGAGCTTCAGCCTTTCGACCTACAGGACCCGACGCTACCCTCCCAACACCAGACGCCGCCGGACACTCCCAAGGTCCTGCATCCAGGATTCTCCGGCTGGCTGGAGCAACGGTGTAAATACAACACGTTTAAAAGGGGAAGTTAGACACGGCTCGACTCCGCAGCAGTGACGCTGCTCTGCTGCAGACCGCGAGCGTTACAGACGACATCAGATCTGCTCTGCTGAACAAACACCGATGATACCGTCGTCCGATTACCCCGGGCTCATTTTCCTGCAACGTCTTTACACCAATACATCAACAGCCAGCCGATACTAGCCCGACTACAAATGCTCCTTTATGTTTTTATGTAATCTTTTACACAAAGACTTCTTCTTCATGATGGAGGGCACTGAAGACCAACTGAGGGTATTCACCCTGACCTCAGTTAAGACCTAAAGCTCACAAAGAATTCCTCACTTTCAAATGTCAACCACAGTCACGCCAAAACAAGGAATTGTATTTTATGTGGGAGACCGCTAAGCATGTTTCACTGAGCTCTGCATCCTGGGGATACACAACACAGAACCCTGTTTGTGTAATTATGTTATGAAACGGGTAGAGCGAAGAAGTAACAGCAGTTTAATTCTTTTTACTCTGCTGGACACATTTGGTAAATCACATCTTATGAAAACATTTTTTAGTGTCTCTATTAGACACTGAATAAACACAAGAGATCTTCTCTCTTTTATCGATTCATCAGGGAGAAGAAAAATACAAAAAAAAGGTCCAACCATGATGGAAAAATCGAAGTTGGTAGGATTTAAACCCCACGGGATCACCGTGACACAAACACACACCCTGCAGAAGAAACCAAGCACTGACCATCGTTTCTTGTGCGAATCAGAGCCGCTGTGTTCCTCTTTAATACTGCCTCGCCGTATCGCCATGGTAACACATCTATCTCCATAGCAACAATCACAGGCAGAGGAGAATGCTAATTGGCTCCTCTTATAGCCGTATACTTTAAAGGTCACGCTGCGCGGACCGCACGCAGGGAAGCGATCGGGAAAAACAGACAGCTGATCCGGCACGAAAGCTCGCCGTTTGGTCGCTACGTTTACACATCACACATGTTACACGCAGCAAACAAACAAAAGCCTTCGGTTTACTTATTCATACCAACTTTATATATCAACTCCCTGAACAGTGCCCATTTAACAGGAGACAATACAGCAGCATGTGGTTTATTAAAGGGGATCCATCATCCTTTTTTTACCGTTTCCATGGCGAATGCTCATATTAAACAATCAGTGAGGTCACACAAATAATGCCTGTGAGCCAAAAGTTTCATTTCTTGCAGGTTTTTCTGTTCTTGGGTCTGTATGACGTCACCGAGAGTGGACGTCCAGGCGCAGAAGCCCCGCCCACCTCCCGTGTGTGTGTCGCTGCACTTAAAAAGCCTGGGCTCATGCTTCACTCTGCATCTCTGGCACATTCAGAGGCACCTCCTTCAAAAAGAGGCACACGAACAGCTGGGTCAGCTGATTTGGAGCACTGAATACCCCAAACTGGCCTCCCCCTCCTCTTCCTCACAGGGAGATCAAGGCGGGATCTGCTGTGCTCATTTCGAGAAAGATATGTTTACTTGGAGTCAGAGGAGCTTTGGAGAAATCCGTTGGTTCGTGTTCCTCATTCTTTTCAAACCATCCTCCTTAAGATTAAAAGATACGAACAGAGGGGTAGGTGGAGCCAGAGCGGGGTGTGGATGACCATATTAAGAATATCTATGCTCTCTGACATCATCAGAGTGATGAAAACAAACCCACAAACCTGCCAGAGGCGAGGCTGCCGGACACTGGCGCCACCGGGCCCTCTGACCAGCACCAGCAGACACAGGTGAAGTGTCTCGCCCAAGGACACAACGACCGAGACTTATTTGTTCTAGTATTCGTTTTACTTGTTTTTTGAAATGACCATAAAAAATATAATAAATGAAAGTATCAAACAAAGAATCTAGTTAAAGGGGGTGGTTCTGTTTTGCTCTCAGGCCGCCGTGGCTCGTTCTGGCGCCCGCGCTGTACTCTGGCTGTGTGTGGTTTTAGAATGAAAGAACTAAAAGTGCGCCGCAGCGCGCCGCAGCACGCCGAAGGCTTCGACGCCACGATCGAACCAAACTTACGTCCCCGTTCTTCAAACCATCCTCATCCCACTCTCTGTTCCTCTGCTCTCCGTCTTTCTCCTTTTCTGCAATGTGGCCGACTGGGGTGTTTGGGTTGTCGTGGCAACCAGATCCCAATATGTGGCCCGCATGCTGCAGCGGGAGCCAGAAAAAGAACAGCCCACACTGGTCACTATGGCAACACACCTCCTCGGGGTCCTTCGACAGCTCATCCTTCCTGAGACGCGGTTCCCTCTCTGAGATTGGACCCGGAGTCTTCCTCTGGGGCGCCCTCGCCCTCCCCGCCCGGGTCATCGGCTTTACTTTCTGATGTGATCTGGCTGTGTGTGTGTGTGTGTGTTGTGTGTGTGTGTGTGTGTGTGTGTGTGAGAGAGTTTACCGGTGTGTGTGTGAGGGTCATCTCCCGGACCAGGAAGGCAGAGTTGCCCTCTTCATTGTGGCACGTGATTTTAAAGTCTCCGTATGTGGCGCTGTTGTCAGGGTTGGGCCAGTACTGGTGACACTTCACCTGTAAACACATCAAACACCTTATGACTCTCAGCATCTACCCATCGCGTCCTCGCCGTTACATTTCAAACCATTAAACATGTCCAGTTTCTCCAATTTCTCATCCCCGGATGTAAACTGTAGATCGAGTCCAGAGATTTTTTATCTGCACCGTGTCTGGAAGCTTCGTTGTTACGTAATGTTGTGTTAAGGATTACTTCTTTCCAAAACTAACAACGGCTTGAGCTGCAGAGAAGTCTGCAGCGTGTGAGACTTTGCAGATAAATAATTAAATATACTGAGGCATTACGACGCAGCTCGACCAGACGCCTCAGCGTCGTAACCTGTGCCGCTTACCGGTGAAACGTTAAATTCAAACGGCTCTTTCTAACAGTACATTTTCAGTTTCCTGCCCTCGTCCTTGAAGAGATCTTTTACATACCCGCCCTCTCTCGACCTGGGTGGTCAGCATGACCACCATGGATGAGCCCTGCTCCCACGTCATCTGCCAGAAGTCGGGGCAGGTGTTGGGCAGCGGGCCCTGGCACGCGATGTAGCGGTTTATCAGGCTGGACGCAGGAATCTCCATCTACACAGGACGACACACACACACATCAGAGGTTCAGGTTAAAGAAGCAGAGACTGCATTAGATTTGCATCTTACTCCAACTTATTTTGTTGTTTTTTTGGATCAGCGCTTGTCCCAATACAACATGTCATTAACTACACTTTCTAGCTAACAGAGAATAAATGAATGGTCATTTTCCATGAGCGTCCCAACTCTATCAAATCAAATAACAGTCAAATTATCCCAGGTCTTTATCAGATTACCTACAGCCCCTGAATTAATAATGACACTGATGAGAAGCTGGATTTGTTCATGCTGATTAGACGGCGAGGAAGCAGGGCCTGTGTCCTTCACGCCGAACAACTACCGATCACAGAGTGAACAAGGCTTTAAAATGCCGCCCTTCACACTGAAACACTGTTTGCAAAGGTTTTCGTGTTTGCTGCAGGGAACAAACCTCCAGTAGGTCTGAGAAGGCATGACATGAACAGACAGAGCCACCCACAGGAAGGAGATTCAATTCATTAAAATATTACGCTCTTATATTAAATTCTTACCAAGAAGCACCCGTTCTCTGTTTGTAACCCTCTTATACACGCAAGCTGCCGTTAGCTTTGAAAAATAAAGGCCTGGCGGGCCGATACCACAGCCTGCCATGTGGCAGAGCCAGCCCAAGAAGTCTGCGCTCCAGTTTCAGTTACTTAGCATAACTACCAGATGATGGGTGCAGCTTTCCAGGATTCACTGACAAACTAGCACTCAAGCCCCTCGTCCAAATATGGCCACAAAGACCCAAACTCACGGCTCCGAAACTGGAGCAGCGTGTGATATGATAGTCCTGTTCAAATGCACCGGCTGCGATTCAGCATCAGTGTAACATGCAAGCAAAACTGCAGACATTAAAGATAACTCACATTGATGTAATTTGCATTGATGTAATCATCTGTGCTTTTCAGAATGACGCGGGTGGCATCATCTGTCGGGAGAGACGAACAAGAGAAGGGGGTCAGATTAGGCAAAGAAAAACAGCAACAAGTCCAAACTGTGTCTTTAATGCATGTTTGCTTTCAAGGAGGATTTTATCCTTTGTTCTCGGGTCGTTACTTTGTTACTTCTGTTAAAAGTTGTTGGAAAAAGTCAGAAAATAGAAGTCGAGGGGAAAAGGGAGAAAGTTTGAGGGGTC